CTCAGGGGAGAACCTAAAAGAGCTCCCTCCAACCCCCAGCACAGCTGCCTGTGCTCCTGGCTGGGAGCCGGTGCTAATCCTCAGCCCCTGGTAACGCCAAGAAGAAGGACGGGGGAGGCAGGCGGAGATTTTCTTTCCCACTCAAGAAGGAAAGGGAGAACACATGGGTTGACCTGTTGGGATCCGGTTCCTGAAACCTGACCCGAGGACAAAGGTTTCACTGAACTGTTAGCTACACACTTGCCAGGGGCTTTGTCTACCACCTGGGCTGAAGGAGAGTTCCTCAGAGGACCAGGGTGGAACCACCTGGCTGGGAGGTCTGCCCCTTTAAAGGGAGGCAGAGAAGCCAGTGGTCAGCTCCAACAAGCCCCACCTCCTACCCACCCTGACCCACTGCTGATGTTCACTCAACAGAGGTTGAGGATCTGCTCTGTGCCAGGCCCTGTGATAGCATTTGCTGGTGAGGGAGACAGACAAGAAAACAGGTAGTTACAACAAAGTGACGCCATGTCCAGGGTTGGTACCCAGTGCTGTTGGAGTGCTCAGACAGGCGCCTAACCTTGCCTAGTGGTCAGGGAAGTCTTCCTGGAGGAAGCAGTCAGGAGTCCTGAAGGCCAAATAGGAGTTAACTGGGAAGAGGCATGGGGATGGGTGTGGAATGCTGACAGAAGAGCTGGTAAGCCAATCTAGAAGGTACTCGTCCAGCTCCCTGGAGTAGTCCATCCCACTGAGGGATAAGCAGCCTGAGGTCTCTTCCACAATCTAGACCCATCTAGCATGGTAGCCACAGTATGAATCTTGGGGCTCTTTCCTCCCAGGAGGGCTAGGGCTTAAGACCCAAACTGGGCCTACCTCCTACACTTGGCTTCCATCCATTTTTAAAAAGCTTTTTATTATGGAAAACGTCAAACATATATATGAAAGTAGAATAGTATAATGAACACCCATGTAGACCCACAATTGGTAGCTTCAACAATTTTCAACCCATGACCAGTCTTGTTTCATCTATACCCCATCCACTCCCCTCACTCAAATTATTTTAAAGCAAATCCCCTATAACCTATCATCTCCCCCTACAAATATTCCAGTCTTTATGTCTAAAAGATAAGGATCTTTAAATATATATATATATCCGAAATACCATTATCACACCTAAAAGGAATTAACAATAATTCCTTACTGCCCTCCAATATCCAGGCAAGATCTACTTTCCCTAATCCTCACTTGGTTTTAATAGTTATGTTCCTATTTATGGGGCAATGGTGGGGATGAGACTGGGGGAGGAGGGGAGGAGAAGCATTCAGCCTGACTGTGTTAAATCTGGAGTCCCTGGGTGGTACAAACAGTTAACACAATTGGCTGCTAACAGAAAGTTTGACTGTTGGAGTCCACTTAGAGGCACCTCAGAAGAAAGACCTGGCAATCTACTTCCAAAAAAATCAGCCATTGAAAACCCTGTCGAGCTCAGTTCTACTCTGACACACATGGGTTTGCTATGAGTCCGAGTCCACTTGATGGCAACTGCTGGTGGTACTATACCCACTGCTCCCCCGACAACATAACAATACGTGGTCACTGCTTTGTAACACCTCTTGGGTGGCTCTACTGTGTGTGTTTTGTAACCTCAATTAGATTTTAAATTCTTGAGGGCAGGGACTGGCATCACTGCCCTTTTTGTACCCTAGAGGAGGAAGCGCAGTCCTCAAAGTCAGGCAAGCCACTTATAATCTGTGTGACCTAGGGTAGTTATTCAACCTCTCTGAGCCTCCATTTCTAAATCTGTATAATGGTGATAAAAATACCTGTCTCCCAAGAATTGTGAGGCTTAAATAAAAGGTGACCGTGCTTAGCACACAGAAGATTCTCAGTAAATGCTCATCTCGCTGCTCTTCCTCAGGTAGCGTGAAATAGGCTCAAGATTACTGTTTTGATTAACTTCTAGTTTCTCATATGTAGTAAAGGCCACCGTCAGTGACAGCTCCCAGCCAGGTGCTGGGAGGAGGAGACAGAGTCCACCAGCTTGGAGCCCCACCCACTGTTCTGTCTCTGATGTCAGAGGCCCTTACCCTAAGCATCCAGGTTTTGCTTGTTTCCCTGACCACAAATTGAACGGACAATCTTGCGACACCCGCCTGTGACTAAGTGAAGTGAGGAGCTGAGTAGTGGTGGAGATTTGCTTTTGCTCACTCTACCACCTTCTGGATTCCTTGACCCAATTGATTAATCATTTCATACTTGCCATTTATTGGGTGTTCGTTACTTGCAAGCTCTGTAGTAAGTACTTTACATCATTATCCCTTTTAGTTTGCACACACCATCCTATGAGATATTATCCTCATTTTACAGATTAGGAGACTGAGACTTAGGTTAGGTAATTTGTGAGTTACTTAGATATTCAGACAGTAAGACATGCTGGTACCCAGACTAGGTTTTTCTGACGCTTAAACCCAAGTTCTTTACTGCACATCACTGTGCTGCTCATGGTGCTAAAAAGGCACTTTTTAGTGTTAATTCCCATTTGCCCAGATTTACAGAGATAGCCTCTGTCCACAGCACAGTATGTACGTTGAACTCCATCCATGTTGCCAACCTGTGCCCTTGGACTGTTTGAAAAAGGTTGAGAAGATCTGAACAGTCTATCCCCATGAGGGGAAAATGGTTCTAAAGGTATCTTCTTATATCAAGACTGTATGCCTGTACACACAGGCACACATGTGCACACACACACACACACACCCCACCCTCTATTCCCTGACTCAGGTTCTGTCTGCAGAAACAAGTGCGTACCTGGCAGGGGTGAGGGAGGGGCACAGGGGAGAAGAGGCTTGCCATGGTGTTATTAATTGGCTGAAGGAAAAGCCTGTGTGAATGAAATTTCCAGGAACATGAGATATTATCCTCATTTTACAGATTAGGAAACTGAGACTCAGTGAACTTGTGAGTTACTTCGATACCAGACGTAAGATGTACTGGTACCCAAACTAAGTTTTTCTGACACTTAAACCCAAGTTTAAGTTGCTCATACTGTCTGCAGCCTACCCATCTTGCTTCATCATTTACAGTGTTATGTGTTTGGCTTCAGCCTCAGGAGTACCTTTCTGAGCACCAGAAGCCACCAGGCACAAAGCAGCCACGGGCACAGAGCCTGGGGACCGGAGTCCACACTTCAGCATGAAAGCTTGGGGTCCAAGTGGGGGATCTACAGAAGTGCCAAAGCCTTTCATTGCATTCCATTCTTTCTGTTTCCTGGTAGTTTTCTTGAGGTACCAGGCCCTCACAGGAGCAAGACGTCATGACTTGCCCAGAGGATAAAAGGTGTCTGAGGCTCCTGGCTTCCTCACTCCCTCAACTTCTTGGCGACACCTTAAACATGGGCTGGGGGAGGTCGGGACAGAGTCAGATGCTCTACCTCACTTTGCCTCGCTGCTTCTCTCCCCACACTCCCATCCCTTCACGCAAGAAGTCAGGAGCTATGCCCACAAATGTGCTCTGTGAGTAGCATGCAACATAATTTCTTGCCCCGCCAGACACTTGGCAGAAGTTTCAGATGACAATGTCACCTTTCCCATTTCCTCTGTGACAGTGAGCATGTTCGTTTGAAGCCCTGTGATGTTGGTGGCCCCTACCCTGGGCATCTGGGTTTTGCTGGTTTACCCTGACCACTAATTATCCACAGGAGTAGAAAAACAAAGAACAAGAATTGTGACTAAACCTTTTCTTGCATGAATTTACAGATAATGGATAATATACAAGAGATGTGGCCAGTAAGTGCTGAGTAGAAAGAGAAGTGGAGTCCCTGGGTAGCGCAAACAGTTAACGCACTCGGCTGCTAACCTAAAGGTTAGAGGTTCAAGTCCACCCAGAGGTGCCTTGGGAAAAAGGCCTGGAGATCTATTTCAGAAAAATCAGCCATTGAAATCCCTAGGGAGCAGAGTTCTACTCTGACACACATGGGGTTGTCATGAGTCAGTCGACTCAACAGAAACTGGTTACTGGTTAGAAGACAAATAGTACAAAGACTTAGAACAGTTTTTCCCACCAAACACTCTTTGCTGTGAAAAAAGGGATCCTACACTTAGAGGCTAGCCTAGTCCATCCAAAGAAAACTCACATATCTACATAACGGTGAACAAAATGAATTCGTCCATGCCAACCTCCACCCCCAAGAAAACAGAAAGCACGTTTTGTTTGAGCCGATCCTAGATGTG